GCTATATGGCCGGCCCATTGCCACTTCAGCTTACTAATCCGTTGGGCTATGTCGGTCACTCTGGTTTTACTGCGGATATCCTCATTTCTGAGTCTATCACGCTAGTGAAACTCCGAGCATAGCCCTTTCCATAGCTCGCTGAGCGACCTTGAGCGTCCTCATACAGCCAGCGGTGAAGGACCACGTCTCAGATCCGTAAGTCATCACTGGCAACACGCACTGGTATATACACTTTAGTTTTCAGAGATTGAGGTATACCTGACGAGAAGATGTGTCGTAATTTCCCGAACGCTGCCCAGCCGAGTTGAATCCGTCGATTGACCTCTCGGTCAAAGTTGGACTTACCTAGTCGGACTATTTGTCCCAGGTAAACGTACTCGTCAACAACTTCGAGCATAGTGCTCCGAACAACTACCGGCATAGGTGTGACATGGACATTAAACATGATCTTTGTTTTGTCCATGTTCATCTTAAGACCTATCCGTTGGGAGACACCATTGAGGTCATTGAGCATAGTGCTAAGGTCCTCCAGCGATTCTGCCATAAGGACTATATCGTCGGCAAATCGAAGGTGAGTGATGTACTCGCCATTGATGTTAATACCGTATCCTTTCCAGTCCAGTAGCTTGAAAACGTCTTCCAACGCAGCGGTGAAGAGTTTCGGGGATATAACATCACCCTGTCTTACACCTCTCTGCGGTTGGATAGGTTTCGTACTCTGGTTCTGTACTCGGATAGCCATCGTAGCCCTACTGTACAAACACTTCAGCACTTCAATATACCGATAGTCAACTAGGCACCGCTGAAGAGACTGTAGCACCGCCCAAATTTCGACGGAATCAAAGGCTTTCTCATAGTCCACATACGCCAGGCAAAGTGGCAGATTGTACTCTTCGAACTTCTGTACAATTTGCCGAAGGGTATGTATGTGGTCTATGGTACTGAAGCCTTTTCGGAAACCGGCTTGTTCGGGAGGCTGGAAGTCGTCGAGTCTGCATGCGAGACGATTCGTAATGACTCTCGAAAACAGCACGTAGACGCGGCTCAGAAGGGAAATCGGTCTGTAGTTCTTCAAGAGAGCGGATCAACTCATAACCATAGGTTATTGTCATCCATAAATTCCTTAATATTATAATAACCCTTTTTATACAAACTTAGTTTAATAAAGTTTTTGAACTTTGAGCAGGTCAAATTTTGTATAGTTTCTGGGATTTTTTGTAAAAGCGTATACATCGCCCTAAGAATGAATTATTGACTCGGTGGCGTCGAGTAACTGTTAATATTTCTTTGACTATACATTATTATTTGTTTATGTAACTAAGAACTATTTAATGTAAAATTTTGAAATGATAACGCTGATAGTCTTTTTACCAGGAATTATAACGTATTAGCATGTTTTTGGATCGTAATCGTTTGCGCAGATCTCAATGATAAACGTTTCCACGAATCGCTCCTTGCTAATCTGCCACCTCCTTTACGTAGCCTTACAACGATTAACAGTTTTAAAAACAAATATAAATTACTTCTACTCAATGAACAAAAAGATGTTGGTTAAGACGTAGTATCCAGGTAAAATAACTATGATAATTATTTAATGTAGTAATTTTATTACTAAATTAACGGTGAATGAATTTACCAGAAAGTTAAAATAAATAATAAATCCGCTTTCAGTCCAATTATATATAGGTATGGGTATGCATATGTATATGTTTATAGTTTATTATGAATTTTCGGGCATCTAGAGCGAGCGTGCACTCAGCCGCCCGAGCTGCCTCTGGGAAAGGGCTGGACTGAAAACCAGTGCTATCACTGAGTCCGGTCCGTTTCACAGTTTCATGCTGCAGCACGGGGTATTTTTAAAATATTTTCTTAAATTTATAATAATGTTAAGTTACTTTTAATTTAGTTGTATTTATCTTTTGGCTTATATCTACTTTTTGCTTGTTATGCTGCATGTTTGAACTTGAATAAAATGCATTTCTTTCTTTCTTTCTTTCTAATAGACGTAACTAGGACAACGTTTGATTAAAGATGCTCAATCGTATTGGTAATGTTCACTTGGGCTATAAAAGTACTTGATTCGTGAGCAAATACGTATGTTTGTCAGATAGGTTATTTCTAACGACAGACCGTGTATGAGTTGGTCGTGTATTGTAGGTGTAAGTATATCCACCGCCGTATACACCGTGTCGTGGATGCCGTAAGAGGTATCAGAGGAATAAAAATGGAATATGGACAGCGGCGTCTCCATGTTAACAACTAAAAAATATAAAAAACAGCGTGGCAACCAACTGTTTTAACTCCAAACGAGGCATACCAACTAATTTCTCAGGGTTGACAATGCATCTGCATTTTGATTCTTAATCGAGGTTAGATGTAAATGTCTATCAGCCACAGTATACACATACCATCAGGTGGACTTTGTGCTAGTTTATCACTCTTATAATATAAAAAATGTTTTTTTTTCACTCACCCGCCAAGCGTGGCAACTTTGACAAATATGGGAATATTTGTAATCATTATTATAAAAAATTCATTGTTCAGCAGTGAACTCTTGTAGCTGAAGTGGTATTGGCAGCAAAAGATTAGCGGCATGTGGTGTTCGACTTCTCTACGTAGTATAAAACAAAGTCGTTTCACGCCGTTTGTACGCTTGATCTTTAAAACTACGCAACGGATTTTGATGCAGTTTTCATCAATAGACAGAAAGATTGAAGAGGAATATTTATATGTAATACAAGCATATGTTGTTGAGTTCCAAAAATCACCCGTGCGAAGCCGAGGCGAATCGCTAGTATTTTTATGTTTCTTTTGGTTATGACAAATTTAAAAAATGATGTCTCGATTGACCCATGTCTAACTATTTTGGCACAACGTACGTATCATAGTCTTAGGGCTCTTGTACACGCTAAGAAAAGTCGCCGGGTCTATGCAAGAATTCGTGTCGTTTCTACACACGAACTGTGCACAATGCTCCGGCGCTGAATAAGAAAAAAATCTTGTCTGCGCTAGACTACACGGGCTCTGTGTTCTTGCGGTGAAGGGAGGGGTGGAGTAGGTGAGTTGCTTCAGATAATTTGAGTTTTTTTGTACATGTGTGGAAGTGTTTACGTACTTTTTCAGTTTTTTAGTATATATAATATGCTATAATCATTTTTTGCTTCGTAGTTAACATGATTCTATTCATTACAAACAAACTTGACTAGTGCACTATACCCTACGCACGGCTGCCCGAAAACAATCTTATCGTTTACACGTCTCTATTTTTAAAATAAAAAATAATAATATTAAAATAAAAATATCTAAAATGTTCCTGGCTAGATCCGACAAAATTCTTTTCTGCCGCAGACACGGCGACTTTTCTTAGCGTGTACAAGAGCCCTTAGAATATACTGGCGTACCTAAGTCTATGGTACGTATTTATAGTTCAAGTTCATTTTTTCTTGATAATTTTTTGTATGTATGACTTTGTAGGTGTTTTTAGGTGCCAACATATTTTTTATTGTACTCTTACAAGGCTTTAATCGTAGTTAGTCATCGTCCACTAAGGTCATCAGCAAACGACTTCTGCAATTACGTGGCAGTTTTGTAATTACATATTTTGTAATACGTCCTATAATTATTGGTAGGAATTCAAATCACCTGTTCTGCCTCGTTCTATTTAAAAGTAATTCTGATGGTAAGTGGCGACTGTAGTCCAAAACGTGTAATCAACTTAAACAAAGAAGATCATAGATGCGTTGTATCACATTAGAAGTACAGATGTGCTAGAATTGGTATGTCTCACAAGCTGTAATTTTATTGATTCCTTATGAAATTATTTGAAACGGGCACAGCAGCTGGTATACCGCAACTTGTCGGTGCAAATATGTAAGATGGTCGTACCAACCGAGATAGAAACTAAGCAGGAATGTTAGACATAGTATTAGAAAAAAAATTGATATTTTATCATTGTAAGTAAACAGCATTTGGTCCAGTCGGTTGTGTTATAGGCGATTATAGAAAATGCTTGAAAAAACTTATGGCGGTCGATAGATGGCGGTGAAATCACCTCGTTTAAGCCAGACGGAAAATATTAGAGACCTGCGACAGGTAGCAGCGTTAAAGGTGCGAAATATACCAGATGTAGCAAAGACTGCAGTGGACTGCAATGGTGACAAGCGCGGCAGAGAGGCATTTAATGAAATTTTACAGGCTAAAAAAAAGAAGAAGAAAAAAGTAACCGTTATAATCCATACAATACCTTACGATTTTTGTGTTAAGTTTTTAAATTGTAAAGATATCTACTGTAGAAAACAAAATTCTTTAAATAACAATTAACGTGATAATAATGAAAAAATTATGATCAATTTCCTTTTAACCCTGTTACTGCAGAAGAAAGTCATTATATATATGAGTAGGTAACAATCAAAATGTGATACGTCACTTGGATGTGGAACAAAGAATAATAAACATTTTTGATTTTAGCGAATTGAGTGTAAGTTTAAGATTCATATAAAAGTCAAAAAACAAATTATTACTACACAATAATATTATTATATTTTAATGTATAAGTCAAGTCTCTATCTCTTTATTTTAATTTTTGAAAAATGGACAAAACACGTTATGCATGAACCACATGGACAAAACATGTTTTGACTTGAAAACATGTTTCAATCTCGCAGTCGAAACGTGTTTTGTCCATTTCTAACTACAATCTTTTGAGTCTTAGATTAGTGTATGTTGTGGATCTGTTTTGATTAAAAAAACAGTATTTTAGAAAACATGTTTATTTTAGCAATATTAATTAGTAAAACTTTTATTGACTTATTTTACCAATACAATCAGTAATACTTAAATTCTCATACAAATCTCATTATCCAGACAATCACACTCATTTTCATTATCATCAATTGTTTCCTGAATAGTGGTTGGAGTATTGAAAAGAACTTCTTTATACAAGTTGAAACGGATGTTCTCAATCTCTTGCCAGTTTCCAAAAACAGACTGTAGTAATTTGTCTACATCCATCTTTTTTCATTAGATAAAGATCTGCTTAAAGGCAGTGTTTTTGGTTGCATTCTGTTTAACATGTTAATGGTGAATGATTTCTTGTTTAAATTTTCGTATGTTTCATTTCCTTCATAAATAAAGTTTTCCATCGCTCGAACTCTGACTGACCGTTTACCATTAACCTCACTGACTTTGAAGAAAATCCTTTTCATATTGCTTATGTTTTTTAGATCTTTGTAGAACTTCTTTAAGTCCTTGGTATCTTTGAGTTCCCAGTCTTGTCCTAATGAATACAACTGTCCCAGTTCTTTAAAAATTTCTATATATTCTTCTTTTGCGATAATAGTGGGCTTGTTTCGCAACAGTTTTTCAGCCCTGCCAAAAACTCTATCGGCAGGTAAAAAGGAATGGCCTCGATTTGGAAAATGCATATGAATTTCCTTAAGAGATGTCCTTGTAGTTTGCAAATAGTACATAATAGTACGTATTACAATATTATTTTTATTTTGAGAGATACATCCATCACTAAACAGTCTTAAAATGGTGTGTGATTGGAAATCAGTATTCAGAAGGAAATGTAACAAAGCAGATGATATTTCTGTACTTCCTTTACCGGCTTGTTCTTCAGACCAGCAGTAAAACTGTGGTTTCAGTCCTTTTAAATCGACTATACAAAAGCTGTAAAATCCAATTTGTCTCAAATAGTATGCCTCCTGTACCGGTGCTTTTGGCAACGGTTGGATTTGTTGTAAATCAAAACAGTAGCTTATCGAATCTTCTACATCCTGCCTCATTAGCTGATAAAATGCATTCGCTCTCTTCTTATGAATTCTTTTTTCTATAATGACATCATTCCTCTCCTTTGACCCTGATGGATATGTTTTTATTTTGTGATTTAGAATTGTGCAATAACTGCACACATCGGTAGCTGGTGATTTAAAACCAATATTAAATTCACTAACAAAGATTCGTCTAAACATTGAAAGTTTCACTTTCAGTTCATCAGTGGTATTCGTATTGTATATTTTATGTATTTTTTTAATACTCAAGCCTGCCATCAAATAGATTCGTTTAGACTTATTTCTTCCATAATGACTTTCACTTCCTCGAAGTTTTCCAATGAATTTTCTTACATTGTCTTTCTTCTCCTGGCTTAAATGACTTTTTCGGTCACCTCCTCTATTTTCTTTAATTCTTTCACCCTGAAACTGCTTTTTTGCTATGTTTTGAAGCCCAGTACGCCCCATCTTAGTTACTTCAAGAAAAAACTTCTTGCAAACTGGAACCCTCTAAGAATCAACTGTTAAGAAGTATTTCACATTAAATAGATGTTCTGACACAACCTTCTTGTTAGGTTTTACTCTAGGTCTCCTTCGCTTCACTTGGTGAGTCTGAATTAAAGATGAAATGATCCCATCTTGAGCAAGTTTTTCCGGAACCGAACACAACTTTGTTCGCATATACATAACGTGCTTTGGTGTAACTTTTGAGCAACGAAAGATTTTCGTATCGTGTGCACAAGGGTGAATAACATTAGAATTATAAAGTTTTGAATACTTCATTTTTGACGTGACAACGTCTTATAAATTGGTTTGCCGGGTGACACTTCAAGAAACCGCTCACGTTATGCGCTCACAATGAGAGCGAGTGAGAGGCACGCGTCCCTTCTACTCGGGCATGGTTAGCCCGCCTAAGAGCGAGAGAGACAGACATAAAAAGTGAAAGGCACGCGTCCCTTCCACTCGAGCACAGTTAGCCCGCCTAAGAGCGAGAGAGACAGAGCGAGAGAGAGAGAGTGAGAGAGATAGGCATACACACCGGTTCATGTCTTGCGCTTCTATTTCGCTTAGGCGCCTGCATACAAGTTTACACGTTGCCAGTTAATTGTAAAACGATTGTGTAGTGATAATGTGAAGCTTTGTATAAATTAATGTTTTAAATATAATTCTTTGTATAAATAAATGTTTTAAATTGTTACTATTATTTCATCCTTCTTCCTACTATACGAATGAATATTCACATTAAAATTATTTTACCACTCAAAGTCGTTGTCACGTAAAACTTTCGCCCGTATACCGACTTTACAGGCAACCAATATTTTTTTGGCAGCAATTCTTTTTCCACCAGTGATACGTCTTTTACGGCTACCACTATTTCCCGCTTGTACTTCTATAATACATATATTGCATTAAAAATTAGCGTCACAATATTATTTTATTTTATTCAAAAATCGAAAAATACGACACAGTAAAATATCCTCACATAGGTAATGAATGACAACAAGTGGTTCATTCAGATTCATTCAAAATGTGTTAAGTCAAATGTCAAAATGGCATCCACTTATTTGTGATTGGTTGTTCGGACAAAACATTTAATGATATTAGCCTGCTGAAGCACAGAAAACGTTTTGTTTTTACTGCCTATTTTACTCATTAAAATATTTAGAGAAAACATGTTTTGATGCAAACTGTTCTTTTTAAAAAATGTGGAGCCCATAGAGTAGAGGAAAATGGTATTATCAACTTTTTTTCTTTTTTTTGTGACAAATCACGTTTTGATTGTTACCTCCTCATTATATATATATATATATATATATATATATATATATATATATATATATATATATATATATATATATATATATATATATATATATATATATTTCATATGTTATATTTCATCCGAAAAACTTGGTCTTACATATTTTTATGACATCTAAAAATTCATAAAATAAATTGTCATTTATAATTACTAAAAAAATCTATATCACGCCTCATTAATAGAGTCGTAGTTAAAAAAAAATCTTTACATTTTATCATACTTTTAAAAGCAGTAGGGTTAATAAATTTTATTCTATAATTTTGTCAAATAATAATTACGGATTCGTGATTAATATAATATAGCAACAAAACATTAACTCAGTTGCTTAGGCATAAGATTTAACACCTACAGCATTTCCAGCACATAATATATACTCAGGAATATCATAGTTGAGTGTCGTTTACACAAAACAAAATTTATCTGCAATTAAAAGGTTCGCAAACAAGTTATGAAACGTTGAAATGTGGATAATCTTAGAATTCTCACATTTCTACTTCATAAATTATGCATTCCGCAACTTATCTAAGTGGCATACGTTTAGTTGCTTACCAAATTTTATATATTATAAAAATTCTCTTCTTTCCTTTTATTACAAGTTTGTATTTTATTGTCTTTATTTATATATATTTCCGGTTCTTGTAGTAAATTTTCAAAGTATCTACTTACTGAGATCCGATAGTGCTCAAATTCCGCATGCTTAAGTAACTTCGATAACAATGGAGTAATACATCTGGAACTGTTCTGATGATCGAGACGGACGTTTGACCTAGCAATGTTTATAAATGCTTGTTTTAAAAAGATTTTATTATTTCACATAATAAGGTCGACAAATGAGCACATAGTCCTCTTATTGCTGTGGCCGTAGACATCTATCCTCGATTAAGAATCAAAATGCCACCCCGGAGTACTAAGATGGACTGCCTCGTTTCCAGCAATAGGTCTCCGGTTCTCTACACTCACCATACGAAACACAGCAGCGTTGAGCCCACAGAAATTGTAATAATATTGTCTTATTATTACCATTTCTGTGTTTGAGCCGCTATTTTACGCTGGTATTCTGTGAGAACGTGCTCCTTCCCCCATCTAGCTGACCCATTCATGATACAACCATAATATTGGTGCACCATGGCTCTATTTATATATTTTAACCTAAATAACTAAATAAATAAATAAATATTATTTATTTATTATAACTTGTTTATTATAATTTATTTATTATAATGTATTTATTATATATATTATTATATATATTTATTTATGATTATATATAATTTTTACCCTCATACTTTATATTTGTTCTAGTGATCGTAAGCCCGACTGCTGAACAGGTCAGTGTCAGGAAGTTGGTGGTGTTTCTCAGAAAGCACGAAAAAACGTTGGCCCTGCGTCCTATCGGACTACGTGAGTGAGGGAATTGAGAGTGCTACTGAGCTTGCGATCATCCTTGTGCACTATAATCCTGCCATGCGCAAATGACTAGTCTTTAGTAGTCTGGTACTCTAATAATAGTCTCCAAACTGGTCCCCGTGACCGGAATTTGATCTGGAGAACATTATTACAGTATTATTATTTTCCCAACTAACGTAAGCAAGTTAATATTGCTTGGTACCTATGATAAGGCTGATACAGACTGGCTGATACAGACAGTGTGCGATCTTAAAGCAGTCAACTTAGCATATCGGTCGAATTTTCCAGCACAATATACTAACCTATCACCAGATAGACAAATTCTAGCGTTTTAATTTCTTTTATATTGTCTGTGAACTCAATATTTGTTATTATTTATTTGTTTGTTTCGTGGGTTATTGCTAGTATAATCCGGCACATAATAGAACTTAAGCAAGATGCTCTTTACTGATCTTGACATAAGATGAGATCTGATCTATATAAAAAATTTAATTTGGTACACAAAATGTATTAAATTGTTCAGTTAGTAAACTGTAAATCTTTTCATTGGTGCTCGTAAATTCATTAATGAAGATACATACCTTCCCGCGGACTTTAGTTTGTTAGCCTCTCAAACCCCTAGCGGTCTCATGAGACCGCGACCATATTCCGTCAAATCCCTAGCGGTCTCATGAGGCCTCACCCACCCATAGCACTTTAACCCATAAAAACTTATATATAGAGACTACTTTTCGATGAAGAAGTTTGGCATTATAGAATCAATATGAAAATTTCTATTCTCTAGTGCAATAAAAATAGTTATCCTATAGATATTTATTAATAATCTACGTTCATATCGTACGCCATTTTAGAGTGAATGTTATTGTGTTGATTTTTGGATTTTTCTAGTGTTTTAGTATAGTGTTTTACTGTAGTGTTTTATTATGAAATTGTAATGAAAGTTTTTGTATGAATATAATTTATCCTTTTACGTAAATAATTTCGAGTAATATATATTGAAATAATAGTGATTTTCACGCTGCCGGCATTCGCTTGGTATGTTTTTTTTATGATAACAAAATACATCATCATCATCATCATCATTACAGCCCTTCACAAGTCCACTGCTGAACATAGGCCAATAATAACAAAATACAATAAAATCTTTTTGTAACGAAGTAAAACCTGCCTTTTGTTTAGACCACAAAATAGAGAAATTTGTATAGATTTTATAATGCCAAACTTCTTTACAGAAAAGTAGTCTCTAAATATAAGTTTTAATGGTTTTATGTGCTTTAGGTGGGTGCGGGCGACTGCATAGGATATTTATTGGGCTTGAAAGGTTAGGCAAGACTCATAGTAGGGGTCCACGCTTCGCAGGCAAGTTATGTTTAAACACACTAAATTTAAAAAAAATATTCCTTTGTTATACTACAGTCATCTTTTTAGATTAACGTCAGAAACAAAATAAATTATAAATAAATGTATTGTAGCTGTGATTATTATTTCTCTCAGTTATTCGCGTGATCAAATGACCAGTCAAAGAAGTTTTAAGTAGGTTGCGGCCTAAGACACTAGTGTTTTAAACCAAATTATAAGGTGCCATTGTGGTTGCCTGAGGACTGATTACAGTGTAATCATAACGACAGTGGTGTTTTACAAATTGGTGGAAAAATGAGGTGAATTAAAATAATACAGACGATTAGAGTATTAATATTTTTTTATTTTATCATCATGTATGTTTCATCATCATCACATATACGTAAAAATTTACCGTAGGGAGTCATTTGTGGGGAGTACTTGCCTTAAAAATTTCCCTGTTAGCGAAATAAACACAAACACAATAGTTAAATCGAAATGTTCATATGTGATTCACGAACAGTGAAATGGTTAATGTATCAATCAATACGTAATCTGTAGTAGTTAAAGAGCTAGCTTAATACAGACAACACATATTTTAACAAACCCTAAATTTCGTTCAGCATTATACTCACTGAACAAGACATGGTGACTAGCCGGCCGCGGCAGGTTATATACATACATTTCAGATTTGTTAAAATAATTTTGAAATTAAATTTTTTTGGAATATGCAAAAGTGGCTTCCGTGACGTCAGAACCTCGTGTTCGCTTGTCACCTCTTCCTATTAGAAAAAACTTTTGAAATTTCTTTTCGTACCTGTCACATCTGAGTGACCCAGAACCTAGTCCCCATGTCTTGTTTAGTGTGTACAACAGGCACAATGGAGGAAATTTTAGGTTT